TGATAAAGTTATACATATGGTTAAGATGGATAGAATGAACTGAAAAAATGATAAAAAAAAATCAACTAATATATAAAGCAAATACTTATATTCCTTTAAATATATAATATATTATCATTATTGTTATAATAAATAAAATAAATATAAAAAATAAAATAAAATAAAATTAAAAAAAAATAAAATAAAAAAAGAATAAAAAAGAATAAAAAAAGGTTGTTTGGGACTATCTGATAATTAATAACAAAAAAAAACCTCCCAATATCTCAACTTAATTTAATGCCGATCACAAAATTTTTGATTAGAATAGTCAGAATTTGACTTCAATTTACTTACTTTAAAGCCACTACAACTATTGCTTGCCCAAACAAAAGAAAGCAGCAACTTAAAGCTGCTAGGGCCAAAAAGTATGTGAAAAAATCTTATGTATTTTATGAACAAACAGATTATGAGAATCTGGTTTGGTTAGATCAAAACATTGATGAGAAGGCTTTACTGTTTTATTAATGGCTAATAAAAACAAAAATATCTAAAAACCTTTGAGTAGGCCTTCAACTTATGTTGAAGGTTCTAAAAGAACTCAAAGACGCAAAAAAGCAGAGCTAAAGAAGGCTGCACAAGATACTCGATCTATCACTACTTACTTTGCTTCTGCCTTAATATGTTTTAATGTTGTATCAACTTCGACTTCTACTTGCGAATCATCAACAGAATTATATATATCAATAGAAATGGAATCAGTGAAAATAGAATCAGTAGAGATAGAATCAGTAGAGATAGAATTAGTAAAGATAGAATTAGTAGAAGTAGAATCAATGAAGGTGGAATTAGTAAAGGTGGAATCAGTAGAAATAGAATCAGAATCAATAGAAATATGATTAACAATGATGGAATTAGCAGTAGATATATCAGTAGAAAAGAATATCGATAAAAGAACAAAAATAAGATTGGCAATTAAGAAGTTGGATAGGATGTTAAAAAAAGATGACAATCAAATAGATAAAGAT